CACACACACACACACACACACACACACACACACACACACACACACATATATATATATATATTAAAATTCCCAAGTAGATAGCAAATTTTCAACAGTGAAATTCAAGATAGCCATTTTCTTGCATTTTGGTGTATTCTTAATTTTAGTTAAATTATTAACTTGAGACAGTGTGTCACTCAACATACTTGAGATTATTTCATAATTACATATAACATTTATTCAAATAAATAAATTTTGTCTAAAGCCTGTTGATTTTAGGGGTCACTTTCAACTAGCCTGGACTAATCCCTGCAGTATTCTTGGCATCAATTTTAGAAGTACTTTGGCACTGCCTCCTTCCTAGGGCCGAGAGAGTGTGACTGTTCCAAGACCACCAGCTGGCTCTGTGCTTAAGGCAAGACTAGAACTCTCAGTCTTCTGGCTCCTAGCCTGATGCCTTCATCAATACAATAAACTAGCTCTCTCATTTGAATGGATTCATCTTGAATTCTAAATGTACAAAATTGTGACATAATTACTGTACTTTGATCCTTCCAGAAATCCAAACCAGAATGGTATGATTATGTAATAAATGGAGTTTGAAACAAAAAAATTCTCCAGTGCTTAGAAGTTAGCATCTGCCTGCAATTTCTGAAAGCAACCACCTCTTTTTCCAGGAGAACATTTCTTTGCTTTATGCTCCCAGGAGAAGATGAGTTTGGTTGAAGAAACTGCAGACAGGCTATGTGAGTTCCTGAGAGCTCGGAATAATCTCCATGCTCAAAATCCTGCAGCAGTAGTATAAATAATCCTTAAAACAAATGTAAAGGACATACAACAACAAAAAACCCTATCTGTCCAAATATTCCTACTCAATTTTCACAGTTATGGCATTTTTAAAATCATTAGTTATTCTGAAGTAATTTATAATAGACAAAAATAACTTGCATAGAATAGCCTGCTTATCAAATACAATCAGAAGTGGTACCTTAAGGATTATTTTATATTTAAGAAACATTTATAAATCTACCAGATGTTCTGTTGCTTTGTAAATTTTAATTTATACCCTCTTTATCCAAAGAGAAAAGGTTACAATCAATAGATTTCTGAAATCTTATTTTAGATTTTGGAAAACTTTATTTCCCTGAAGCTGTTGGGAAGGAGATTAAAACTGTCTCACTGATAACCTTGCTTACAATACATTAATAGAATATTATTTTGTTACTCCATCATTATTACCCAATTAACCTAATCCCTTGTGTTTAACCTTGGATTAAGTTTATTCAATAAACTACAGCATAGCTAACTTTCTATACCAGTACAAGCTTTCTGCTATGAACTCTTGATTACATTCATTATTATTGTGATCTAAAAAAATACAAAAGGGCTTAGACTGAAATCAATAGACTTATGTTCAACTAGTCCCAGGAAAACCCTATTTCAGATCTGCATTTGTTTATACAGCTCTGGGAGATTTGTCCTTTATTTAGAGGGTTTAAAAACTTCACTGAATTTTGAAAAAGATTTCCAAAGCAGGAAACAACCAAAAATAGTGTATACTATAAAGGCTCAAACCAATAATTAATATCTAAGAATAATATAAAGCTTTTAAACTAAGATAGGGGATACTAACAAACCAGTTTGCAGTTCACAGTAGTACCAGAATAACTGATCATCAGGGTGGACAAGGGCCAAAAGCTTTCAAATCTTTTTTTGAAAAAAATCATATTTTAGGGATGCATTGTGATCTTTAAAGTTGTCACATTAATTGTTGGCAGATACAGTATCCATCAAGTCTCTCTGAGTTGCCTTGAACTGTGAGATGGGCAGCAAATACATTTGATAAGAATAAAAATGCCAAATCCAGTCTGAATATCTGGCTGACACTGATGAACCAGTAATAATGATAATCTTCAAGAATTATATTTCAACTAATGGGTGGGGTATTTAACAGATGTACATTCTATAAGATACTCAATATTGCCAGCAGAGGAGACTTTGAATGTCTTTACAAGTACCATGATCTTTAATAAAGTGATAACCAATGTGTCTTCAGGACAGATATAACATGTTAGACTATTCTCTTCATTGCCAAAGTCTGAATTAAGCTTGATTACCATTGACTTCATGGATACATCTTGTTGGAAACAAACAAAAAATATTTCCCAGGATGCTTTTTTCAGCTTTCTAGTTTAGTGCATGGCACTGGAGTTTCCTGGTAGTTTCCCACGAAAGTATTAACTTGATTTTCAAGATAGTCAAGTTTTGCTAGGTGCTCAAACGAACATAGCTGCAGTTTTTTGCAGTAGCTTCAGCTCTCCAGCCAACATCAGTTTTAGTCATACATACAATGCACTGCAATAGTGAGGTTGTGATTATGTTTTCCATGCCAGATACCACCTGTACATACAATGGAGGTGGTTTTAGTATTTAATATTTAGTGTTACAAGATGACATATTTGATCTTTCACTGGAGATGCATTCCTATCCAAAGGAAGCAATTGCCATAATTCATGGGGAAACCATAAACTATACATTCTATTCTCATGGGTCGATCTGCTTACTCATTGAATTTAACACCTAAATTCAACCTATCTATAGCAAAGAACAGATAATAAATAGTGTTATAGGTATGGAGAGACCCCTAAAATATTCCCTGAGCAGGCTTTTTGATGCTAAATATCTCTAAAATAATCCTGATTTCAAGACTACAGTAAAAAACCACTTAATTTGGCACCGACAAATCATAAATCAATAGATCATAGAGATAAACCACATTTACACACAATTGGAAAGAAACAATAAAAAAGCTAAGAAGGAAACAGACCAGGACACATTCTCTCCAATAGCCAACACCCTGAAAAGGAGGGATTAACCCAGAGCAAGCTAAAAACAATACCCTAAACGAAGGAACTACCAAAGAGAGAACCACATCCCTACCAACACTAGTAGGGTAAGTTACTGTATATACAACAAACCCCACGCTCACTAATATGTTACCTAGTTGGTTAATGGAATATCTACAATCAAACAACCAAATTCAGAGAGAACCAAGGACGTCTTAAAAGAGTTAAGGTGAAATGGTAAGTAAGGAGGGATAGATATCTCAACTTCACCCTCCAGCTATATTCCACATTTCTTCCAAAGGTTTGCACTATTATTATAGTTCCAAACTGGTACCATATGTTCACCTTTCTGCTGCAGCACTAACTTAGTATATGTGCCTGCTGTTTT